GCAAGGCAGAAGCAGAGCAGTCGGGCCGCGCTCCAGGCAAGGCTTGGGGCAAACTGGTCGAGGATCAGCGGCGGGACCATCAGCTACCCTGGCCGACACGCGAAGCCAAGCCACTCACCACGGACGCTCCCGGGAGGCTCCCGTGCCCGCCCGCAACGATAGAGACAGTTCAGCCCGGGTGGCAAGGCGAGCGGCGGGCGGCAGACGGAGGGCGGCAGGGCCAGCGTCCCCCCCACAGGGAAGGTTGGGCTCCGGGACACAGTTGCTGTCGGCTCGGCGAGGCTCCGGTCCTGCAATGGTCTAGCCATGGCGCTCGGGGGGATCTGCCGGGCAAAGAGCGGTCAAGGCACAGAGCGACGAACCGCCCGCCTGCCCGGGGAGAACGCGGCACAGGATCGGCGACCCAGCCAAGGGGCGGAGCAGAACGGCCGCGCCAAGCCCTGTGTTTGTAAACAAACCAAGCGGCGGTTCGGCACCTGACTTGTCTCGGCTGCAGGGTTGTCCTGGGCACGGGGTCTCTCCCCACTCCAACAGCAGTAAACGCCCTGATCCCAGCCCCGCTGCGGCCACGTGTGCTCCGCCCGGACCGAGTCCCGCCGCCCCGCCGCGGCGTCCTCCCACACTTACTGCAGCTGCATGAACCGTCCGGGGCGGCTCGGGGGTCGCGGAGCTCCAACTGGCACGGGCGGCGCAAGCGGCGGCACGAGCGAGGCAGGGTAAGCGGACGCGGCAGCGACGGGACGATCCTCGCTGCGAGCCAGGCAGCCGCGCGGAGCAGAGCTGCCAGCCCGCAGACCCCGCCCGTCGTGACGTCACCGACCCCGCCCCCAGGAAAGTTCGGCCTTGTGCAAGAGCCGGGGATCCCCCCGCGGGAGGGGCGAGGTGCCCCTTCCCGGCCGCCTCTCCGGCTCAGCGCTCGTCTCCGACCGGGCGGGCGGGGCACCCCACCAGCCCGCTATTCTGGCCAGCCCCGCTGCTGCGGCCTTGAAGGCACGAGCGCAGGGAGAGCGGGACCCGGGGGCCGGGCTCGCGAGGGTGCTCCGTAGCAGCGGCTCCGCATCGACCTGAGGTCGTGCTCCCAGTCTTTGGGGCAGAGTCGCCTACCTAGGGCCGATTGGCCCCTCCAGCCCCGTTTCTTACGTGAAAGGGCAGACAAAGGCGACTGGCCTCTGTGACCCCGAGCCGAGCACAGGTTCCTGCAGAACCCTCAGACGGGAAGCGCCGGGAGGCCGTCCGTAAGCAAGGGGGCCAGGCCGGCCTCCCAGCCCGGGACCGCTTTTGAGAGCCCGCCGCCTTTGGTTTCCCTGTGAAGATGGGCAAAGGGGCGACCAGGCCTCCTCCGCTGGGGGACGAGCAGAGGTTGTTTAAGCCGGGCACCCCTTGGGAAAGGCGCTGGGGTTTAGTGGGCCTTTGTGCGGATGCCCTACAGCGAGAGAGTCTCTTTGCCCCAACTGGGCGCGGGGCCGGTTCTGGTCACGCTGCTAAGCCCTCGACTAGGCCGAAACAGGAGGCTCTTCTCCAGGCAAGGACCGGGGCCCGCCCGCGCCTTCCGCCAGCATAGGGCGGTGCGCTGGGAAGGCGGTGAGGGGCAGCGCTTCCGCCTGTCGGCTGCCGCCAAACCCGCCGGACCGCTTCCCTGGCCCGGGCTGAGCCTTAAGAGGCGTTGGGCACGGAGCACAGCTCCGGAGAGGACAGCCCTCGACTCGGCGCGGCCGAAGCGTTTGTTTATTCCGAGCTGCCGAGGGAGCGCCCAGGGGAGCGCAGCGAAAGGTCGCGCGGCATCCAGGAACAAGCGGGCCCTGCGCCGGAGCAGGGCTGCAGTCCCTCGCTCGCCTGGCCCCTCCTCCGAGCTGCTGCTCGCGTGACCTCCGGTGGAGGGATCCCACCGCCTGGCTGGCTGAGCCCCAGCACCGCCGAGCCAACGAGCGCCGCGTCGCCGGGACAGGAGCCGGGCAGCAGCCAATGGCGACGCGAGGCGGCGGGTTTGTGGGAGCGCTTTTGCTGCTGTCTCTGTTGCGGTCTCTCTCCTCCCACCCACCCCCCGCGCTGACATCACTGTTTATTCCTTCTTGGCCGGGGGTGGGGGTGGGGGGAGGGTTCGGCTGGCACATGCGCCGGGCTGGCCAGGACTAACGCCTCGTTTCGGCGGCTGCGGCGCAAGTGAATTTGCCTAGTGACAGCCTCCCTCCCTGCGCACGCCGCTTCGCGATGAGGTCATCCCCGGGGACTGGGGGATGGTCCGGGAGAGGCACCGCCAAGGCTACCTGGACAGCCCGCCATGCCTTCTCGTCCGCCTCCAGCTGGCGGGGCGGAGGCGATCCGCGCGAACGTGTTGGCCGCGCTCTCCGCCTAAGGCGGGCGTAATTGGCCCTTTGAACCCCGTCCGCGCAAAGAATGCGGGGCGGTTCGTTTTTGACTGTCCGAGCGCTGCGGCGAGGCCGGGAATCTCCCGGGGCCTTGAAGGCGGACACCTGGCAGTTGGAGCACCGCTCCGAACGTGCCGTGATCTAACCTCGGAGCCCGCGGGGAGAGGCATTAGGGGATGTCAGGGGAGTGTCGCGGCTGTCTCGAGAGGGATTCCCTGCGCTGGGCCACGCGACCCCGCCGGTTCCGCTTGGCCGCCTTGTGCTCCTCCGCGGCGCCGGGAGTTTGCATTGGCAGTCGAGGATGGTGCGCAACCATTCAGCGGCCGGCAGGTGCCTGTTTCCACAGAAAAGCGCCTGCCGACGGCCCAGAACCCAGGCAACACGCGGCTGACGGGTGCGGTCACGCCCCCCCCCAGCCGACGAGTTCAGGGCGGGGCTGGCTGGGTCCGGTTGCGGTGCCCGAGGAGCGCTGGCAGCCGGCGGTCTAAGCGCCGCACCTTCGCGGGCCGGAGACAGTTCGGGCTACTCGCCTCGCTGCACGGTGGGCTTGGGGAGAAGGTGGGGCCCGGTGGGTGGCAGGCCCTCCAACTCAGCGGCAATTACAGCCGCGGGCCTCGGAGCGGCGCTCCCCGATTCTGATGCCTGCCTGGCCGGCTAGAGCGAGAGCATCAGGGACCAGACGGTGTTCCTGAGAACTCTAGGGCTGCGGAATCCCGGCTGCCCAGGCGCTGCACCCGCTCAGCGGCCCGAGAGCATCTCTAGGGCCCCGACATTCCGTTTGCAGTTCGCCAGCCCAACCCTTTTCAAGAGGGAGCCGCGCCCCCCGCCCCTCTTTTGCCTTCGCCGCCGGTGCAGCAACAGCAGAAGCGCGGCGGCGTTTGGTTCCCGCCCCTCCAACCCTCTTCCACTCCACCGCTGCAGCCAATCCGGGCTGACCATCCCAGCAGGAAAAACAACTGCCATGGAAACAGCATCCGCAGCTGTTCCTCCAAGCAGCAGCAACTGGCCCAGAAGGCCGGCGGGCGGGCGGGGGCAGGTCTGAGCCCCCTGTCCCAGCCAGGAAGAAGAGAGCTGGATGCTATGGGGCTGGGGCCCGGGGCACAGCTGCAACAGCCTCTGCCGGCTGAAGAGCTTCCTCTGGTTGCAGTCTTCCAAAAGTTACATCCGGAGGGGATCAGAGGGAATGGCATCTCCTTGGGTGCTCTGCAGCCGCCCATCCCCTTGAACCATCCAGGCTGCTGCTTGGGATGGCGGTTGGGATTGGCTCCACCTTTGGTGTGAACTGCGGGGAGGAAGGGGCTGCCTGGAATGCAGCCAACTGTGGTCCCTCTTTAAAAGCACCTGGGTAAGGCTTGATGGAGTCATGGTTGTATGAGCGCCCAGCCTCAGGAGATGGCAAAAAGGCCACCCAGTGTGAAAATAGCCAGCCAAAAAGAGCAGGAATTAGGGACACAAACCCAGCTGGGGGAAGCCAGCAAGCCTAAGGCTGCTGGGAGGAGAGAGGTGACTGGAGCGTCAAGGATAGTCACAGCCTTGTTCTGAAGAAATGTGATGAAGTAGTTGTGTATGTAAAGAAGCCCTATGTGCCTATGAACTGTGGAGGGTCCTCAGTGCTCTCTGAGCTTGCCAGATGTTTCATTAGACAACTAAGGAATATCCATATTACCTAGTTAGTAAGCTCAGAGAGCACTGAGTACCCCACAGTTCAACCCTGAGCTACAAATATTGCCTTCCATTAGCATTTGTGAAATGTTTTACAATTACAATGATTAAGAAGCAATAGTGGCAGGCTTGTGGGCCACCTACTGAGAACAGATGTGGAGAGGACTTTTCTAAATTAGCCATCCAACGGACAGTGGAAATGGGAGATCACAGGTTTCTCAGTATCTGCTTGTGCAGGTTAGAGACTGTGCAGTGTGTTCAATTTGCACCGTTGACCGAGCCCACCTGCAGGTTGCTTGTCAATGGTCCTGCATTGTCTTGGAAGTATGATGGGATCACTAGGACTCCATTCTAGTGAGGGTGGCATGGAATAAATGCTTACCAAATTTGCAGCTGATATGTAGCTAAAGTCATCTGGAATATTATGTGCCATTGCTGCATCTCCAAAAGGAAATAGTGGAGTTAGAGACAGTTCAGAGGATGATCCCGATGTCAGAGTGTGTTCCCCAAGAGGAAAGGGTGCAACAAAAAGGTGCATTTTAGTTTAGCAAGGAGAACAATGGTGGGGGCCACAAAAGTATGCATGATGTAGGTAAAGTAAACAAGGATAAGCTATTTTCACCCTCCCAAAATATTAGACTTAAGAGGTTACCAAATGAATTAGAATCCTGGAAGAATCAGGAGAGAGAAAAATGATCTATAAAATGCAAGATATAATTAAACTTTGGAACTCCGCACTGGCCATTAACCTTGATGGCCGACCGCGGCCGGCAGGTGATGGCAACTTTAGACCGGCAGCCCCAGCGGGACGGGAACCTTCTGGGCAGGCCCTTCCTCGGAGGTACGGGCGCAGTTTCACCCGGCCGTCTGCCCGGGGCGGCCGTCTACGGCGACGCCGAGACCTCCGACCGAGGGGTGGCGCTCGAGGGGCGGCGCGGCACGCAGCAAGAACAGCCTTCTCCGGAAGGAAGCGGAAGCGGGTCCGCGGCGGTCAGGGGGGGCGCGTGCAGGGCGCCCGGGCGCTTCGGGTCCGGCGCGGAGGATGGTAGGCGGGGGCGGCACCGGGGGGGCGCGCGCGCGGGGGGAGGCGGGGGGAGAGAGGCAGCCGTTCTCCCGCTGCTCTCCTTCCGCGCAGTCCGCCTCTCTGGAGCTGCGGTCGCGGGAGGAGAAGGACGCCGAGCTGGACAAGCGCATCGAGGCGCTGCGGCGCAAGAACCAGGCGCTCATCCGGCGCTACCAGGTGGGCGCGGGGGCTCCGGGCGGGGGGCTCCGGGCGGGGGGCTCGGCGGGCCGGCTCAGCGCTTCTCCCTTGGCCCGCGCAGGAGATCGAGGAGGACCGGCGCAAGGCCGAGAGGGAGGGCGTCGCCGTGACCGGAGCGCGGAAGTCCCGCTCGGCGGAGGCGGCCGGGCAGCCCGAGAGGCGCCGAGTGGAGCCGGAGGCCTCCAAGCTCGCGGGGCGGGTCCCGCCGGCGCACGAGGTGAGGCCGGGCGGAGGGAAGGCCGGGCTGGCTGGGAGGGGAGCCGCCGCCGGGCGAACCTCACGCGCCCCGCTTCTCTCGCCAGGACCGGCGGGCGCTCGGGAGGAAGGCCACCGCCGCCAGGGGCGGCCGGGGAGAGCCGCAGATCGGAGCCCGTCCCCTGCGAGCCGAGGCTGGCTGGCCAGGGCCGGGCGCGGACGGAGAGGGCGGCGGGCCGCGGGGGCGAGGCGAGCGAGGCCGGCGGCCGCGGGGCCGAGCGGACATGGCCGGAGGCGACCGGCGCTCCCAGGTAAGACGGAGGGGGCCCGGCGGCCCGCGGAGGGTTGGGTATCCGGCGGCCGGGCGCTTGCAGGGCTCTTTCCCCCCCCCCGCAGGAGTGGGAGGAGCGGCGGCGGCGGAACATCGAGCAGATGAACGAGGAGATGGAGAAGATCGCCGAGTACGAGCGCGGGCAGCGGGTGAGTGGGGCGCCGGGGGTGGGGGAGCGAGGGTGGCGGGCGGCCCCGGCCTCGGCTCAGGCTCCGCTGCTCTCCCTTGGGCAGGACGGGCTGCAAGAGAAGAACCCGGTCCGAAACTTCCTGGACGACCCGCGGCGCAGCGGCGCCTTCTCCGAGGCCGGCCGGCGGGAGGGTAGCCGCCGCCACGTCCGGAACTGGGGGGGCGCCGACTTTGATAAGGTCAAGACGGCCCTGGAGCCAGACAAAGAGCCGTCCTCGCTGGTGCGTCTGAGAAGGGGTGTATGTATGTGGGGCAGTCGTTGGGGTCGCTAATCCTCCATGCTGGCCTAGTGCAAGACAGTTCTCTGCACCTCCAGCTGGGAGGTTTTCCTGCTGGACACCCGCCCCCCCTGCAACCCTTTTGTGTGTGGGTGTGTGGGTGTAGGAGGGCCCTGGCCTCATCTGGTCTCTTCTGGCAGGGCCGGGGCAGTGGCTGGCGCAGGGGTCCTAAGACGATCTTGGATATGACACTTTCCATGACTGGCCGCGAACGGGCAGAGTACACTCGTTGGAAGCAGGAACGGGAGCAGATTGACCGGGATCGCTTGGCCCGGCACCGCCAGCCCACTGGGGAGTGGCGCCGAGAATGGGACGCCGAGAAGACAGATCCCGGGTAGGTGCCCTGACTTTCTTTCTTTGGGAAGAGGACCAGGAGGGGGTTGCTGGAGCAGCTCAACTGCAGGAGTGGGAGTGTCTCCCTTACCTCTGGCTTCTCCTCTCTGCAGGCTGAAAGAAGGCAGCGAGCCTCGAGGCTCATTGGTTGACAAGGAGGGTAAGGAGGGAATACGAGTTGTGGGTGCTTCCTCTTCTCTGGGGACAGAGAGTGGGCATTTGACAAGCATCACCTCCCTTTGGGCCCCACTTGAGAGCCTCTGCCTTCTCTGATTTCCTTGCTGTTGTAGAGCACTCCAAGCACCCTCCCAAACTGCCCACTTTTGGGGAGTTCATGGTTGGGCAGCCTGGGGACCGGCACCTGAAGATTCGATGCCATGGGCGCCCCCGAGGAAGTCCTCCCAAGTCCTACAGGTGAACATGGGTGGGAGGGTGGGAACTGCAGCGGAGGAGGGCCTTTCTGCTCATCCTGCCCTGGCGCGGCTCTCTCCCGGCTCAGCGTTGGCTTGTCTCTGTAGCATGCACGACAACCGGTGGGAAAAGGAGGAAGCAGACCGGACGCTGCCTGCATCTGCGGGGGAGGATAAGGTGAAGGCTGCCTCTGTGCTGCAGGTGGGAAGGGCTTCATGTTTGTTTTTTTGTTTTTATTGAATTTCTATACCGCCCTACTCCCGAAGGACTCAGGGCGGTGCACAGCCATGAAATAAAACACATAGATATACAAAATTTAAAATCGAATAAAATGAATTAAATAAATTTGGCTGAATTAATACCCAATTTAAAATACCCATATTTTAAAATCCATTAAAAATTTAGAATTTACACTTAAAAGGGAGAAGATTTAGGCGAGGCCAGCTTGATGAAATAAAAGCATCTTCAACTCGCGGCGGAAGGTGCGCAGATCCGGAATCCTCCGTATCTCTGGGGGGAGCTCATTCCAGATCGTCGGTGCCCCCACAGAGAAGGCTCTCCCCCTAGGGGCCGACAGCCGACATTGTTTGGCCGACGGCACCTGGAGGAGCCCCTCTCTGTGGGAGCGTACTGGTCGGTGGGAGGCTGTTGATGGTAGTAGGCGGTCCCGTAAGTAACCAGGTCCCAAGCCATGAAGCGCTTTAAAGGTGGTAACCAGAACCTTGAAGCGCACCCGGAAGACCACCGGGAGCCAGTGCAGCTCGCGCAGGAGAGGTGTTACATGGGAGCTCCATGTTGCTCCCATAACCACCCGTGCGGCCGCACTCTGCGCCAGTTGGAGCCTCCGGGTGCACCTCAAGGGGAGCCCCATGTAGAGAGCATTACAATAGTCCAGACGAGAGGTGACAAGGGCATGAGTGACTGTGCGTAACGAGTCCCGATCTAGAAAGGGACGCAACTGGCGAATCAGGCGAACCTGATGAAAAATCCTCCCGGTCACGGCCGTCAAGTGCTCTTCTAAAGACAGCCGTGAGTCCAGGAGGACGCCCAAGTTACAAGCCCTTTCCGTGGGGGCCAATGATTCGCCCCCAATAGCCAGCGATGGCGCCAGCTGACTATATCGGGACGTCGGAAACCACAGCCACTCGGTCTTGGATGGGTTGAGCCTGAGCCCGTTTCTCCCCATCCAGATCCGCACGGCCTCCAGGCACTGGGACATCACTTCAAGGGCATCGTTGGGGTGGTCCGGGGTGGAGATGTACAGCTGGGTGTCATCAGCGTACAGATGGTACTTCACCCCGAAACCACGGATGATCTCGCCCAGCGGCTTTACATAAATGTTGAACAGAAGGGGCGAGAGAACCGATCCCTGCGGCACCCCACATATAAGGGGCCTCGGGGTCGATCTCTGCCCCCCTGTCAACACAGACTGCGACCGGTCAGAGAGAAAGGAGGAGAACCACCGTAAAACGGTGCCTCCCACCCCCAACCCTTCCAGCCGGTGCAGCATGATACCATGGTCGATGGTATCAAAAGCCGCTGAGAGGTCTAACAGGACCAGGACAGAGGAACAACCCCTGTCCCGAGCCCTCCAGAGATCATCAACCAACGCGACCAATGCCGTTTACGTGCTGTACCCAGGCCTGAAGCCCGACTGGAACGAATCTAGATACGACGCTTCATCCAGGTACTGGGGTAGCTGTCGCGCAACCACACTCTCAACAACCTTCGCAACGAAGCAAAGGTTGGAGACTGGACGATAATTAGCCAATACTGCCGGGTCCAGGGAAGGCTTCTTGAGGAGAGGCCTCACCACCGCCTCTTTCAAGGCGGCGGGAAAGACACCCTCACCCAACGAAGCATTTATAATCCCCTGGAGCCAGCCTCGCGTCACCTCCCGGGAAGCCAGCACTAACCAGGAGGGACACGGGTCCAACAAACATGTGGTCGCGTTCAATCTACTATTCAGTAGATCTACTGAAATCTACAATCTAATGTGGGCAGTGTTTCTTACTGCTCCCCAAATCAGTCTGGGAGACCCAGGTGGGCCTCTTCCCTAGCCAACTGTGGTCCACGATTAAGTCAAAAGTGGTTCTTAGATCTCCCCTGTGATCCTTTTCTCTCCCACTCTGTGATCCCCCAGACAGAGCCACAAATAGTAGCAGTGACAGAAGAGGATGAGGAAGAGGATGAGTGGGAGGACGTCAGCGAGGAAGAGGAAGAAGAAGCTGAAGCTAACCGCAGCCAGGATTCCTTGGAGGAAGATGGGCCGCCTCTGTCTTGTTCCCCCCTGCCTCCGAGGAAGCCCAGACAACAGCCCACCCTTCGGTCTGCTTCCCTTCGAGAGGCTGCAACCACAGAGGGGGCGCCCATGACCCCCTTGGGGCCAGCAGAGGGATACGAGCCTGTGTCTGACTGGGGGGAAGAGATGGAGATGTGCTCTCCCAGGACCAGCCACAGCAGCCAAAGCCCCTTGGCTGCGGCCAGGGAGGAACTGCCTGTTGACATTGCTGGTAAAGGACAGAGTCGTCCTGAAGGTGGAGGGCTCCTCAGGCAACCCTGGAGAGGTGGGGCAGGAGGGGGGTATATTTTACTATGGGATGCTGCTCAGTGCTGTTCTTCTCTTTCTGCAGGAGTGGGTCCCCTAGTACCACTGGCAGCGCAGGGATCCCTTCCTATGGACCCCTCAGCAGGAGGGGCAGCTTCTGCTGCACCCAGAGTCCTGGAGGCAGAGATAAAGATGGATGCAGAAATGCCAGAGCCCAAAGAGATGGCTTGCCAAGCGAGGTGGAAGAAGGGGGTGAGTAGACTCTGGCATTGTGTGCTGCTTTAGGGACTGGTTCTGGCTTGCCTCCTCTCCCCTCTGAGCTCACTGGAGCTGGAGATCATGCACTTTTAGTCTTCCAACATTCCTGTTACTCCCTATGCCCAGGGAAGGAGCTCCAGTGCGCCCCACCCCCACCCCCAGTAGTTCGCTGCCTGCTGCTTTTGATCCAGGCTTTTGTTTCAGAGTTTTGGTGGAATTATTTTAAGTAATAATTAAGGAAGGAATGAATACCTGCCACAGTTCCTTCCCTACAGAGTCCACTGTAGCTGGAAGATCCTCTGAGTAAAGGCTTCAAACCCACCTCCAGTTTGGGAAGCTGCAGCAGTGCTGCCTTAAGGACCTGGCCAATGGGGTCCTCTGCATCCTTTAAGACTTGGAGAAGTGTGTGCCTGCCTCATTTCTGTAGCTTCCTTAAAAATGCTTTTCTCTGTAGGTTTCCTTGGGCTCCTCCTTTTACACTGCAGGCATCTGCGACCCCTTGGTTACTTGGGGAGAGAATCTGCTTTGCCCCAGTGGTGTGTGTGTGTGTGAGAGAGAGAGAGGGGGGAGAGAGAGAGAGGGAGTGTTTAGCCCTGTGCAGACTTTGAAGGGAGGCAACCATTGGCAGCATCACGGGTGGTCCCCATTGAACTCCACCAAAGGGTGCAAAAGACAAAAAGGATCAGCTGTTGCTTTGACGGCTGCAGGTTGAGGGACTCTCTTCTCATGAGTGGTTGCAAAAGGGCAGCTGTCAGTCCGGCAGAAAAGCTTGTTTTTCCTTTCCTAAGGAAATGGCAGGTGGACCTTGATCTGGGGAAGGAAGAAGTGGAGATGAATGGCAGCCCCTCCTGCCCCACCCCCTACAAAAACCTTTGCTTCACTGGAGGGACTGTATGCTCCATTAGGTTAACATTTCAAGGAAAGCACTACTGCCGTTGTCAATGGATAAGTTGGTTAATTTAATAGCAGAGTTATCAGGCATACATTGCATTAATGTGTTTGTGATATTTAAAATTATTGATGTGCTGATGACTAGAAATCAAAATAAGAGTTATACTTGGGATTTTAGCTTAAGGTTTAAAATATACATGCAGCATTTTATTATTTTGGGGGGGGCATTTTTGCTGCTCTTCAGCCTGAAAGTCCATCAGAACAATGAATAGTTCACAACAATTCTTGCCCATCTAAGAAGTTGGAAAGAAGAAGAAAATGAGTAAATGAACAATTTCAGTTCAAAAGCACAGAGCCTTTCCAAAAGCGTTAGGCTGAGTTCGAAGACCCTGCTTAACCAACTTGGCTTGAAACTTAACAGCCCATTTGCAGAATATGCTCAGTTTGCTTCATTTTAAGTTTTGTGACTTGGCATGTTGTCCCAATACAGTTAGCTTGGTTAGTTTGTGGCTCTGTGTAGTGCACAAGTATCAAAGGTTAGTTAATTTGGTCATCAGCCGAAGAGTGTTGCTTGGTCTCAGAGAATCTCAGGATCCCCTTTTAACAGGCCTTTCCCTGTGGCCAGCCACCTTCCAGTTGCTGTTTCGTGCTTGGTGACTTTTTCTCTCCTGCCCACCAGGAGCACTTGGAGATTGAGGCACCAGAGGCTACACCCTGATGGTTCTTTTCCAGGGCTGGTTGGAATGCAACTGGCAGCCTGCCGAGAACTTGAGCCAGACCGTCAGAGCTGTGGGTACAGTTGTGCCATGCACATGCGTTCTGCATGTTTGTGCCACTCTTGAACACTCTCCAGAGTTTGGGCTGCCGTTCCCCCCCCCCCATCACCCTTTAGTGCTCTTAACACACAAATCATGGACAAGTGGGACCCGCAGCTCTGCTCCCAAGCCTTCTGCAATCTTCCTTGGATGGGAAAAGTAGTGTCATCTCTCCAGCCCAGTCCTTTGTGTAGGAGTGACCTGGGCCCTGGGAGAGTGTGAGGCCCTTCCTATCATGGACTTCTCCATTATTATGTATGAAGTAAATAATTTCTTGACAATAAAGCTTGCGTGTGTCTTGTCTTCCTGCTTGCCACATGGTCCTCTCAGAAGTACAAGTGGGGAGAGAAGAGAGACCTTGTGGACATATCTCGGGAACGGAATGGCTGTGGGCGCAGAGGATCTTTGCTGGAGTGGAAATGATAAAAGCTTGAATCATTTCTTGGAAGGGAGGAAGTCCGGCCTGTACTGGTGAAACCAGCTGCCCTCCGCCAAGGCTTTCCACCATGCAAACCAACAATAGGGAGCCAAGGAGAGGCTTCCGGATAGTCTCAATTGCAGAGGAATTTTCTCTCCCTGGTTGTTTTGGTCCTGCAATAGGCATCCAGAAGTACATGGTGGTGCCTAAAGCTTGACTATCTGGGTTCCCCATAGTCTCTTGATCCCATCAATCATGGTTGGAATGGAAGCCCTGGTGTTGCAATGTTCCCTTTTTCCTTGGCTAATTTGTTTGTTAATGGCAGGTAGGGAGACTTCCAGCCTGAAGCCCCAGGTTTGGGGGTGGGTGGGTAGGGTCTCAGGACATGATGTTCTTGCCGCTCTATGTTCATAACAACATGAAAATGCCAGATGAGTTCATCTGCTGACTCTGGGTCAGGTATCACCAGTATAACACCTGAAAGCTATGCATCCACATGTCACTTTGGCTCACAGCAGCAAGCAACCTGGCACCTCTGTAATGTGCTGTCCAATCAGATTCTGGGGGTTCCTTAACCTATTTGGTTTTGGAATGCATCAATCTCCCTTCCCCCTTGACAGGATAGCACAAATGGTAGATCCCATGTAAGGCCCTTTGGACCAAAGTTTTGCTTCAGGCTATTGGAATGAGCCCATTTCCTGGTCCAGGTGAGGTTGGCTGCCACCTGAAAGTCTGATTAGGAAGCTGGATGTCTGGGTGGCTTCTAAAAGTATTTGGGGAATTTCTGTCCACTGTTTGCTTGGACTCTGACATCTGGAGGTGTCCTGGGCTCTCAGTGAGATTGCCTCTGAGTGGTCTCCCTTTGGCTGTCGTTATGGACTGCAGCTTGATTTTTCTGAGGAGCTCAAGGAGATGTTCAGACTGCCCCAATCTGATTCCTTAGGAAAGAAAGGCCCTTGTCTCCATTTGGTTAAAGCAAAGGGTTCTTTTACTAGGTGTTGGTTGCATGTAAAGTCAAGCCAGGTCTGAACTTCCCCGTGCTGGAAAGATACAAAAAGGATAGCCCACAACCCCTCCCTCCCTCCCCTCCCATGACCAGTCCGTTTCCAGTCACCCGGAGCTTGCCAAAATGTTTTGAGAATGCTGAGGTGTTTGGGGATTGGCAACATATTTCTGAGGGTGCCTGGCCTTATGATCCTAGTATTAGCTGGATGCGACTGCTCTGGTCTTTTATCATCTGTCATTCCCACCTGATTTCCCATTACGTACACACACAGCTTTCTTGCGCTTCCATCCCCAGCCCCCTTCCACCCTTTGATGGCAGGATGCCTGTGAGGTGCCAAGCTGAACCAGGCAGAGCTGACAATGTATGTCGGGCACAAAGGATCAGGATCATATGTTAAGTTGCAGTTCAGAAGATTTATATTGCTGTAGCTTAGCCACAAGAATCTAGTTCAGTACTAAATTGGCACCAGAAAAGGGTCAGTGGAATTCAAGAAGGCTTGTACTTGGACCGTTTATGGAATTGTAATAACTTAATTGTAAGCTGATGATGTGCCACCCCCCCCCTCCTCTGTTCTCCTACATGCAACCACTAAACTCTGTGGGAGAACCTGGCTCAGGTGGGAATAAGCACATTCCCATTAGTTACTTTTATAGCTAAAACTAAGAAAGCTGGATTAAAATAATAGAGAAACGACATGAGCATAAGTAGCCTCAAAGCGTCGAGGTTGTTTTTATTTATTTATTTATTTAAAAAGTTTTATTAGAGAAAAAACACAATTTTCCCACAACCCTCCCATCCAACTCCCCCTCCCCCTCCCCGACTTCCCAGAGCAGAACACAAGGTATTTCAGTTAACTTTTAACAATAAACTAAATTGCTTAACTATCCATTAAACTAACACCCTCTAAAAAAAAATTCTTAACCCCCCCCCCATAGATAAAATCCTGCTTCTTGGATATAATACTTCTAAAATCACTCATGTAGCGCTTATACAATTAAAGATTCATTCATAAGCTATTTGATATTTTTTAGTCTGATACTTATTTTGAATATAATCAATCCATCTTCTCTAGTCCTGTATATATCTTTCTTGTGTATGATCCTTCAAGTATGCTGAAATTTTAGCCATTTCAGCTAAGTTACTTACTTTCAGTATCCAAGCATCAATAGTAGGCAAAAAGTCCTTCTTCCAATGTTGTGCTATCAACAATCTTGCTGCTGTTATTAAGTTCAGGATCAATTTAGTCTCTGCAACTGTACAGTCCGTAGTTATACCCAGTAGAAACAAGTGCGGAGTAAATTTCAGTCTTTTTTTAAAAAATATTCTGCATCACCCACCAAATCTTTATCCAGAATGCTTTGATTTTTTTACAAGTCTACCATATATGATAATAAGTTGCATCATCACAATCACATCTCCAACATTTAGCTTGCACATTAGGATACATACATGATAGTTTTTTGGGATCTAAGTGCCATCTATAAAACATTTTATAAAAGTTTTCTCTTAAATTTTGTGCTTGTGTAAATTTCACATTTCTAATCCAAATCTTTTCCCAAGTCTCCATCATCACTGGCTCTTGAAAATTTTGTGCCCATTTAATCATGCAATCTTTAACCAGTTCCGTCTCAGAATCTATTTCCAATAAGGCATTATACAACCTTTTGATATGCATTTGTTTTTGATCTCTAATTTGTTTTACCAAATTTTCCTCATTTTGCACAAAGCCAATTTTTTGATCTTCCTTCCATCTAGCTTGAAGCTGACCATACTGAAACCATGTGTAAATTATACCTTCTTCTCTCAATGTATCTAAAGATTTCAAATATAATACACCCCTTTCCATAACAAGAAGCTCTTTATAAGTAATCACCTCCTGTTTTTGTTCTATACTTATATTTTCTATTGCATGTCTAGGATTTGCCCATACAGGTATCTTATAATTTAACTTGTATTGATATTTTTTCCAAACCCTCGACAAAGCATTTCTAAGTATATGGGCCTTAAATACTTTATCCACTTTTTTATCATATAACAAATAGGCATGCCATCCATATAGTAAATCATAACCTTCCAGATTGAACATTCTCCCCTCAGTTAAATTAAACCAATCACTAATTTGTAATAAGACCGCTGCTTCATAATATAATCTTAAATTAGGCATTTTAAGACACCCCCCCTTTCACGTGTATCTTGTATAATTTTCATCTTTATTCTGGTTTTTTCCCCAGCCCAAATAAAAATATTAACACCTTTCTGCCATTCTCTCAAATTTTCATCTTTCTTAAGCACTGGTATCATTTGGAACAAGAATAAAAATCTGGGTAACACATTCATTTTAATTGCTGCAATTCTTCCCAATAAAGACAGCTGTAATTTTTTCCAATTCTCCATATCCTTCTGTACCTTGTGCCAGAGATCTTCATAGTTATTTTTGTATAATTTTGAAGCTGCTATATACACTCCTAAATATTTAACCTTTTTAACTATTTCAAACCCCATTATTCTTCCTAGTTCATCTCTTTCAAGTACAGACATGTTTTTGGTTATCATCTTTGTCTTATATGAATTGACTTTAAATCCTGATACTTTCCCATATTGATCAATTAAATCCAATATATATGGAATTGGCTCTATGGGTTGAGATAAAGTAACAATCAAGTCATCTGCAAATGCTCTTAATCTATAATCTTGATGTCTGATTACAATACCCTTCAATTTTTCTGAGTCACATATCTTATTGAGTAGCACTTCCAAAGTCAAGATAAATAACAATGGGGACAGAGGACACCCCTGCCTTGTTCCTTTCTCGATTCTAAAAACCTCTGTTAAACCTCCATTAACTATTATTTGTGCTGTTTGCTGCTGGTATATCGCTCTAATTGATTGTGTAAAATACTCCCCAAAATGCATTTTCTCTATTATTTTGAACAAAAATTGCCAGTTCAAACGATCGAATGCCTTCTCTGCATCCAAAAATATAAACGCTGCAGGGACTTGGTTATTTTTTTCCAAATATTCCAGTAAATTTACAATTTGTCTAACATTATATTTCATTTGTCTCCCTTTTATGAACCCTGATTGATCATTATGAATTATTTGTTGCATAACTGGCATTAATCTATTAGCTAATATCTTAGCAAAAATCTTATAGTCGGTATTCAAAAGTGAAATTGGCCTAAAATTCTTAGGTTTAATACAGTTTTGATCCTCCTTTGGAATTAGTGAGACAAAAGCTTTTTTCCAAGAGGGTGGTACTCCTCCCCCTACCTGTATTTTATTAAATAGAATTTTAAGTGGTTCTAACATTTCAGATTGTAAATGTTTGTAATAAACAGCTGTTAATCCGTCTGTTCCTGGAGCCTTACCTATTTTTAATTGTTTAATTACCCCAGCAATTTCCTCAGAAGTTATTGGCTGGTTCAATCTTTCTCTCTGTTCCAGCGTTAATTCAGGAATATCTATCTTTAAATATCTATCAATATCAACATCTTGAATTGAGTCTTTAGCATATAACTTTGTATAGAAATTCAAAAAAGCCTTTTTAATTAAATTTTGTTGATAAATCTCCTTACCTCTAAATTCTATCTTGTCTATAGTACGTGATTTTTGCTTTTTCCTCATCGTGTAAGCCAGCCATCTCCCAGGTTTATTGGCATTACAGAATGTATTGTGTCTAGCATATTGTATACTGGTTGCTACTTGCCCAGCCATTAACATATTAAATTGCTCTCTTAAAATGTTTATCATATCTTTTGCCTTTTTATCTCCTGGATTACTTATAAGCAATTGTTCTTTCTTTTTTATTTCCTCCTCTATCTCTTTCCATCTGCTTTGTTGTTTTAATCTATATTTATTATT